ATCCTAGGAAGTGGGTTTCATGTAGAGAGGAGTTTCTACCTGGGGCCACCAAGCTCATTCTTTTATTAATGGCTTTTCCCCCAACCAGGAAGAAGTACTCTACTCTGCAGGGAAGGGTGTATTAGAAAGACATTGGGAATCTTTCCCTTAGCCAGCAAGATTCAATTTACAAAGGCCCGTTTAAAAGGCTAGCAACCATTGTGATTTTCTTGGAAAAGTTATAATCTGATTCTCAAGTCCTGAGTAGTTATCTATTGTATACAGTTATTTAAATTATATCTTTCAAGAAAACTATAAAAGTCAGCTGGTGGCTACGCTTCTTGGGGTAAAAAATCCCTAGCACTCGGGAGCCGAGGCGGGGCGGATTGCTCAAGGTCAGGAGTTCGAAACCGCCTGAGCGAGACCCGTCTCTACCAAAAATAGAAATAAATTAATTGACAACCAAAAATATAATACAAAAATAGCCAGCCACCCCATGGGGGGTTGGGGGGGCGCACTGCCTGTAGTCCCCAGCTTAATCGGAGGCTGAGGCAGTAGGATTGCTTTTTTTGAGGCCCGGAAATTGAGATTGCTGTGAGCCAGCTGAACGCCCGCACTCATCTAGCCTAGGCACAAAGTGAGATCTGTCTCAAAAAAAAAAAAAAAAAGAAAACTAGAAGAAACATCCTTAAATATATATATTATCCACCGTACGAAGAGCTGATACTGCACTTACTTGAAAGGAAATCTTTAAAAAGATGAATTAGAGTGATGAATAAGAACTGGATGTAGATGAACGTAGTAAAATATTAACTGTGACATCTAGTGGTGTATATTATGGGTGTCCAGTGTATATGATTCTTTCAACTTTTCTGTATATTTAAAATTCTTCATTTCTATATTAAACAACTTTATCATAGTTAAGGGAATGAACCAAGTATATTTTCAACTGTAATAATCTTTAGGTTTTAGCCTAATTTTGATTTGCAGTTAGGCATAGGCTTATAAACATTGGTAGGAAAATTATTCATTGTTTGGCTTACTATCTGTGTAGAAAGTGCCTCTTACTATGTTACCATTTCATTGAATACCGACTAGCCATAAAACTACCCACTTGTAGACCTCAAGCTATTTATTTAATGAATAAAGAAGGTAATTGAGAGATAGCAGACTGAACTAAATTATTGACTGGACTCTTAGAAAACCTTCAAGAAAAAAATGTTATTTCTAAAAAAGCCTTTTTCCCTTGAATTTGCTGCTTTCCAATAATTGAGGGTTTTGGTTTGGTCTGTTTTATAAATCAAGTTTATGTATGACTTGTTTGCAGCAAAATATAGTAACACTTAGGTATATAAGGGATATCAGGGTTGACCATAACTACAAATGAAACATAGGTCCATCACAACGTAATAAACACTATGTAGCACCTAGGGAAACATTGTGATCTTCATGTGGAGCAAAACAGCCAAATGGTTTTTCTGTTGTTCTCTACCTCGATGGTCGCAACAATATATGAAGCATACATGATGAAGAAAACAGTGGAGGCAACGATGGATGTTGGAGGTGAGAGAATAAGCGTGGGATGATTTGTTTTGTTTCTCGGCCTGTTTAGGATTGTCCGACAGTGTTTAGGTGAGCTCAGTAATTGAAATAAAAAGACGGATTTTAGGGGCCACATCCAGTGTTGCACGCCGTACCGTGGGGTCTCTTTTCTTGCAGGGGAGTCAGCCAGCAGCCTGCCGTTCCCTCTTCGCCCCCTCGGTCATCGCCAGCTGCAAAACCTGTCAGCACAGAAAGAGCCTCGGACCTGCCCAGAAAGAACTCAGGTAATGTGGTGGACACACCCAGCGAAAACCACCCTGTTACCCACATTCAAAATGTAAGCAACTTATAAAACAGTCTTTTCATCTTTAGTTAAATGTTTTGAACCTTTGAGCTCGGTACCAGGTCACCACACATGTTCTGAAAGGTGTTCGAAGAAAGGAGCGCTAGATGGGAAGTCCTTTTTTGGAATGTACCTTTAACGCTACACAAATCACGTGAGAAATAGAAAAAGCAGAAAGCTGGAGTTGCATCTTAAAGTAGAGCTCTTCTTTTTTTCTTTTTTGAACACGAGCTCTCTCGCTTTGTTGCCCAGGCCTAGTAGTGCCGTGGCAATCAGCGCTAGCTCACAGCTGAAACCTCAATACTCCTGGGCTCAGCAATCCTGCCTGCCTCCAGCCTCCGAGTAGACGGGACTCACAGCTGCCAGCTCATGCCCAGGCTAATTTTTTTTATATAATATTAGCTTGCCAATTAATTCTTTCTATTATAGTGGAGAGACGAGTCCTGCCTTCGCTAGGCCTGTTTTCGAACCTCCTGACCATGGAGCCATCCACCGCTTTGCCTCCCAGAGCTGCTAGGATTACAGGCGTGAGCCCTCCCCGCTCAAAGTAAACTCTTTTACAAAGAGAAAGTAATAAATTGCCTGGTCACTGAAAGGCAGATTGGGATACATTTGGGGGTGGTGCAAGGGGTCTTGTTAAGTCTTTTCCTTGGTGGAGTTATCTTTGATAAAGGTAGAAAAATGTACAAACAACACAACTGGCTCATGCTCAAGCATTATTACACGTTCAGGCAAGTGCTGTCACAGTCCATCAGGTTTTGTGAGACCTGAAATTATGGCCATGTTGTCGCAAACAGAGAGTCACTTTAAAATAGAGGACACGGCCCCTGCATGAACGTGCTGCCATCTGGATGTTGAGAAAGGGTGATTCTGTTCTTTAGTGCCCTCTCTTGAAAGGCTAGAAACGAATAACCGTTTCTATGGAATGATATTATATCCTAATAATGATCTCTTAATTTTTAAAAAGTTAACTGTGTTTGCCTTCTTATTTATAGCCACAGACGTGGGTGCCAAGGACTGTTGAAGATAATCAGAGTAAGCAGTTATTTGGCTATTTTGTTTTTCTGCTTGTCTGTTAGATTGCATAAAATGTACATTTCTACTTAATCACTTTTATGGATGTTAATGTGCTCTCTCAATTACTGAAGTAAAAATTGGTCGTGTACGTCATCAATAAACAGACAGTAGACCACGTAATGATCACTATGAATTTTTGGCAAATCCCATCCACATATTTTGTGTGTTTTTGTGTGGTTTTGTGTATTTTCTTAAAGAACAAAAAGTATTATGTGTAGAATATTTAGAAAGCATAAAGGAGGATTTTTTTTCTGAGATAGAGTCCTTTATTCCTGTTGCCACTGGTGTGGAGTGTGGTGGCATCAGCGTTAGCTCACAGCAACCCCAAACTCCTGGCTCAAGCAATCTCCTGTCACAGCCTCTCCGAGTAGTGGGCTCAGGCATGCACCACCATGCCCGGCTAATATTTCATAATAAATACTATATATTTTAGTTAGCCAATAATTTCATTGTTTAGTAGAGACAGGCGTCTCGCTCTTGCTCGGCTGGTTAGAAAGTCCTGACTTGAGGAATCCACTGCCTCGGCCTCCCAATGCTAGGATTACAGCGTGAGCCATCCGCCCTAGCATGTGATTTTTTTTTAGGTCACAGTAGTAATCCATCATATGTGCTATAATTTTCTTACTGGCTTCCTTTATTGAAACAAGTGAACATATTCTCAATTTTTGCCTATCTGTTATAGCAAGACACTTTATATTTCCCACTTTTGTCAACAGCATAGGTAAATTTCTCAGGATTAATTCCTAGAGAATGAAAATGTTGTATGAAGGACCTCTCTCAAACAACAACG